TTTTCACAAAAAAGAAGCTCGAGGAGGCGGGAGAAGTGGAGGGCCGAATGTATCCCTGTCTCAAAGATTTGGCTATGTATGTCTCCATAGCTTTTCTCTCCTCTTGAGACAAAGGATACACATGACTCCGTGGGAGCGCTGCTCCTGCCTGGAGATCAATCGCACAATCCCCCTGTCTATGAGGAGGCAACTGCGTCGCCCTAGTCTTGCTAAACACGAGAGCTAAATCCCCATATTCAGGCGGAATGTGCAGTGCGGGCACTTGGTTTGGACTTTCCACCGAAGTCGCCCCCACGGAAACACCCAGACATCGCCCCTCGCACTGAGCAGACCACCCATCGAGAGCCCTCTGTTGCCACGAAATAGCAGGGTTATGGGTGCTTAACCAGGGAATTCCCAGCACCACTGGGTACGCAGGAGAGTCGATCAGATACAGCTGTATAGTCTCTTCATGACCCCCCTGCGCACACATCCTAAGTGGCGCTGTGATCTCCCTGATCAACCCCGACCCCAACGGGCGGCTATCTAAGGCATGAACGGGAAAAGGTTTGTCAACAGGTAGGAGAGGGATCCCTAAATCTACACAAAACTTCCGATCAACAAAATTCCCAGCTGCGCCTGAATCTACTAGCGCCTTATGCTGGGAATGAGGTGCAACCTGTGGAAAACAAACAGGTATACAAAAGTGCGCAACAGAAAGCTCTGGGTAAGTGGGACGTCTACTCACCTGGGAGGCCCCCCCAGTGCGTGGCCTGTTGTCTTCTCCCCCGGAGAACCCTCCCCAGCACCTGGCCGCAGTGTGCCCTCCACGACCGCACTTGGTGCAGGAGACAGGCCCCCTCGGGCTCCTCCTCCTCCTTTCTCTAGCGCCGGCACCCCCGAGCTCCATAGGGATCGGCTCGGAGGTGCCGGAGGGCGGAATGGACGGACCCCCCTCGGGACGTCCACGGGTGGCCAGCAGGGTGTCCAGACGGATGGACATATCGACCAACTGGTCGAAGGTAAGATGGGTATCCCTGCAGGCCAACTCACGTTGAACGTCCTCCCGTAGGCTACATCGAAAATGTTCATTGAGGGCCCGTTCATTCCACCCTGCGTCCGCCGCTAGAGTCCGGAACTCTAGAGCAAACGCCTGTGCGCTCCTCCTCCCCTGTCTCAAGTGGACTAGACGCTCCCCCGCCGCTTTGCCCTCAGGTGGATGGTCGAACACGGCCTTGAAGCGACGGGAGAACTCGGCGTAGGAGATGGTGTTGGCGTCCATCTTCCTCCACTCGGCGTTAGCCCACTCCAACGCCTTGCCCGTGAGACAGGAGATGAGGGCGGAAACGCTCTCGTGTCCCGAGGGCACCGGGTGTACAGTGGCCAGGTAGAGCTCCACCTGCAGGAGGAACCATCAAAACAGAGCAGTAAACATCACAACAGCCAGTAAACATCAAAACAAAGCTGTAAACATCAAAACAGACCAGTAAACATCAAAACAGAGCAGTAAACATCAAAACAGAGACCAGTAAACATCACAACAGCCAGTAAACATCAAAACAAAGCAGTAAACATCAAAACAAAGCAGTAAACATCAAAATTGAGCAGTAAACATCAAAACAGACCAGTAAACATAAAAACAGAGCAGTAAACATAAAAACAGAGCATTAAACATCACAACAGCAGTAAACATCAAAACAAAGCAGTAAACATCAAAACAGAGCAGTAAACATCAAAACAGAGCAGTAAACATCAAAACAATGTCAAGGGGTGCTGAAGGTGGGTGTGGTGCATGAATCAAGCGCAGGACGCAGAAACTCAGTCCAAAAGACTTTAGTGCAATATTCACGTAGAAAATAAGCACAATAAGCCCGAAGGCGAAATAACGGCGCACACAGGCGTCAAACAAACGGCGCACTAACATGTGCGAAAAACCTCTCCAAAACACTGGAGGGAAGTACGTAGCTCCAACACGAAAACAGATGAGCAATCACACACAAAGACAAACACAACCAACGAGAACTAAATAGGACACTAACGAGGACTAACAAGACACAGGTGTACAACATAAAGACAAAACCAAACGAACATGAAACATCGATCGGTGGCAGCTAGTACTCCGGGGACGACGACCGCCGAAGCCTGCCCGAACCAGGAGGAGGAGCAGCCTCGGCCGAAACCGTGACACACATGTTCCCTATCTTTCCATAATCCATATCAAATTGAATTAAGATGTATTAAGTGTAACCTACTGCACCACTGAAACTGCCTATGCTATGAAGGTGATTTGTCCAATGCCAGAATCATGGCACAGGAAAACATACTTCAACACTGATTCAGTGCCATACTGCTATGTAAAGTTAGGGCACTCTGCCTGCTTGTGTATCCACTCCTCTGCTCTCCTTAGATCAGCCAAAGTAATACAGATTACAGGGATATGCCATTAATGCATTTGTTTATGTTTTTCTATCATGTCAACTTTGCATTTGCAGGAAAATTACGAATCTGCTGTCCTTTCTCACTGTTGCCATAGAAACTGCTTCCAGTTTTTAAAATCTGTGATTTTCCTCTTTAAAATCTGAAGTAAAAAAAGAATTATATGAAGAAAACTAGCTGTAAATAATGTACTTTTTCTTGTTACATACAGCTGGTTTGTTTATTAAATGTATACAAAAAAATAACAGACATAATTTCGGTCATAGAATTAGGAATTAGAATACTAGAATGGACCCTTCTGGTATAAAAGTCAGCCAATTTCATCAGAGTTGATCAACCATGGTTTGCCAGTGCTGTGATAAGATATTGTGTAAAATAAAGAATTTGAAGAATGTATCTGCACTGTATGTTTGTTAGCTAGCCAGACAGTTTTATCCCCCAAATTAACTGCCAATATGCCAACATTACATTCAAACAATGCAATCAATCCACAGCCATACACTGGCTGAAATCAGTTGATGATAGGACTTAGACAAGTTGTAAATGTCTGTAGGCATGAAGTGCTTTGAAAGGCTGGTCATGGCTCACATCAACACCATTATCCCAGAAACCCTAGACCCACTCCAATTTGCATACCGCCCCAACAGATCCACAGATGATGCAATCTCTATTGCACTCCACACTGCCCTTTCCCACCTGGACAAGAGGAACACCTACGTGAGAATGCTATCATTGACTACAGCTCAGCATTCAACACCATAGTGCCCTCAAAGCTCATCACTAAGCTAAGGATCCTGGGACTAAACACCTCCCTCTGCAACTGGATCCTGGACTTCCTGACGGGCCGCCCCCAGGTGGTAAGGGTAGGTAACAACACATATGCCACACTGATCCTCAACATGGGGGCCCCTCAGGGGTGCGTGCTCATTCCCCTCCTGTACTCCCTGTTCACCCATGACTGCATGGCCAGGCACGATTCCAACACCATCATTAAGTTTGCCGACGACACAACAGTGGTAGGCCTGATCACCGACAACGATGAGACAGCCTATAGGGAGGAGGTCAGAGACCTGGCCGTGTGGTGCCAGGATAACAACCTCTCCCTCAACGTGACCAAGACAAAGGAGATGATTGTGGACTACAGGACAAAAAAAGAGGACTGAGCACGCCCCCATTCTCATTAATGGGGCTGTAGTGGAACAGGTTGAGAGCTTCAAGTTCCTTGGTGTCCACATCACCAATGAACTATCATGGTCCAAACACCAAGACAGTCGTGAAGAGGGCACGACAAAGCCTATTCCCCCTCAGGAGACTGAAAAGATTTGGCATGGTTCCTCAGATCCTCCAAAAATTCTACAGCTGCACCATCGAGAGCATCCTGACTGGTTGCATCACCGCCTGGTATGGCAACTGCTCGGCCTCCGACCGCAAGGCACTACAGAGGGTAGTGCGTACGGCCCAGAACATCACTGGGGCCAAGCTTCCTGCCATCCAGGACCTCTATACCAGGCGGTGTCAGAGGAAGGCCCTCAAAATTGTCAAAGACTCCAGCCACCCTAGTCATAGACTGTTCTCTCTGCTACCGCACGGCAAGCGGTACCGGAGTGCCAAGTCTAAGTCCAAAAGACTTCTCAACAGCTTCTACCCCCAAGCCATAAGACTCCTGAACAGCTAATCATGGCTACCCGGACTATTTATACTGCCCCCCCACCCCCCACCACATCTTTTTACGCTGCTGCTACTCTTAATTATTTATGCATAGTCACTTTAACTCTACCCACATGTACATATTACTTCAACTAGCCGGTGCCCCCGCACATTGACTCTGCACCGGTACCCCCCCCCTGTATGTATAGCCTCCCTACTGTTATTTTATTTTACTTCTGCTCTTTTTTTCTCAACACTTTTTTGTTGTTTTATTTTACTTTTTTTATTACAAAATAAATGCACTGTTGGTTAAGGGCTGTAAGTAAGCATTTCACTGTAATGTATGCACCTGTTGTATTCGGCGCATGTGGCCAATAAAATTTGATTTGATTTGATTTTAAATGCAACAAATACTGATATTGTATCATATAATAACACTCAAAGCTTTCCAAGAAAACACACATTTAGATATATAATTATAAATAGAGTATAAACTGTATTTATAATTATATGACTGTATTTTAGGTTGACAATAATTCTATTACACAATTTCTGATACAATCACATGACTTCCTTTCATTGTCCTGCATAGTTAATCAGGATTATGCCTCTACTGCCCTTCATTCCAGTTAGACTGGTTTGGGATTTCTCCCTGACCAATATGGCTGCCATTTACGCCCAATCCTGGAAATATGAGGGTTATTACGTCATAGACCGACTAGTAATTTGGATGTCTATGGTTTTGCTAACACAGACTTCATAATGAATCTGCTGCCCCAAATAAGAAATTGACAGACAGCGGAGCTGGCTAGCACAGCAAGCTAGCTATCCCATCCGATTTATATTTCACTCGTCCAGAATTACGTGTCTAGCTAATATTTCAGATCCATAACGACGCAGGGGTTTATACTGTTGTAAACGAGGTTGTTTACGATGGGAGTAAATGTCTGCTAGCCAGCTAACGTTAAAGGGCGTGCTAAGCTTGTGAGCTAGCTAGCTAACATTGGAATTCCAGCTGTCTCGACAGCCATCATCGAAGACGTAAATAAAACATTTAAAAAAAAATACTTGTTCAATCTCAGTAGCATGGACTCAAATGTGCAGAAGAGACGTGAGAACAAGAAATCACTGCGAGTGAAAGTGATCAGCCTTGGCAACGCCGAGGTGGGCAAGGTGAGTCATCTAGCTAAGTTAGATTTGACTTGTTTTCATAACAACGTTAACGTTAGCATGCCAGAAACAGATATCTACAGAGAGATAAAATAAGACAGGTAGCTAGACGACTCAACTCCACGATTTACGATGGAGTTGAACGGCGACTAGTGTGGGCGGACTGGAGCGCCCACGTCACATAGTTTCTTTTTTAATGTTTATTTATTTATTTACACTGAAAGGCGTGGCTTAACGTGACCACGCCCCGGAGTAGGATATGGGTGAAGGGTACCGTCAATACTTCAATGTAATTAGCCTAAATTTGTCATCATCCTAAACAAACTACTGACACTTTTTTTTTTGTAGTTTCAATTAAATAAGCTGTCGCACCTCACCCGAGACAACCCTATCAAATGGCCCAAAGTAGCCTATGGCAATATCTACACCTACTTGGTGGAATCTCCAGGTTTACACATAGCTAGTTAGATCCAAACAAGTGTTAGCTAGCGACTTACTGTGAATGAAGTGCTTCGAACACACAGATGTATTGAGTAACCGGAGCCACCGCTTTCCATCATCACACGGTCCCGTGTGGCTCAGTTGGTAGAGCATGGCACTTGCAACGCCAGTGTTGTGGGTTCGATTCCCACGGGGGGCCAGTACGAACAAATATGAAAATGTATGCACTTACTACTACAGTAAGTCGCTCTGTATAAGAGCGTCTGTAAAATAACTGAAATGTCAATCATCGCGGCGTATAGCCTGAAACCATGAGGTTCTCCTAACCTGGTCCTAGGGCAGTTGATTAAACTTAAGTTGGTGGTCTTTCCTCCTACTATTGTTTAAACAAAACGGTATCTTAGCTATAAAAGCAGGGTTAGTTAGCTAACCTTAGCTAGCTGAAGAAAGTCCATTGGAATTGGCTCTTTGGCTGATAATCGTGGCAGACTGTACAGCTGTTCATGCTAGCTAACATTTTTACACTTAGAATCAAAGTGTTTTTAGGTATGATGTAGTTTGTGATTTAAACATGGAAGTATGTTAAAAAATGACCAACCAAGCATATCCCAAATGTTTATAGAATGATTAAAAAAAAATTAAAAAAATACAGCCGTTATCGGGTTATGAGTAAAGTAAGCAATTTAACATGGGAGTAAAGAGAGTAACCTACGTCCTTACCCTATTCACAGTGTTTATCTATAGGGTCTGGCTCCAGTAGGTACCTTCTCAAGGCCATAGACGCTGTGAAACATACGAGATGAGACCACTGAGGTATAATAAGAACGGTGAGACAGGTAGCCTACAGCACACACACTGGTAAAGATGTTCAGCTGGCAGGCAGACCGCTGGAAGAAGTTTCTGATTGACAGAGGGAGGGCTTTGCATAGGCGCTTTTTTCTGCGTTTTTTGTGGGATTGGGAAAAAATGCAGAGCCTAAACGAACGTTATTAACCGGTTCCCATGCTTTTAAAATAACGGTTCTGTTCCTGAACAGTATAGATCACTTTATTTCCGGTTTTTGGTTCTATTACCTGAACCAGTTCCAATTCCTGGTTATCAGTATCTTTGCTAGTAGTACTAACTGGCTAGTAGCTTGCTAGTGTTACTACACAGATAGAACAGTGAGCCAGATGTTTCACCGGATGTATAAATCTGAAGCATCCAGTTGATGTTTCCAATCACCACCAAATATGGTGATGAAAGGAAGCCCAGTGGCCGGCAGTGGGAGAAGATGGAGTGAGATGAACTTGGACCACATTCTGCAAATGTTCTCATCGGTGACACATTTGATCTCAATACAGTTTTCTGTTCCCAAAACGACAATCTGTTACTAACAGAGTGGACTAAGTTTTGTAGACTTTACCCTTTGCCAAAGTTTCAAAAAAAAGTGTGTTGTTTAGAAGGAGTGTAAGGGCGAATTGAGTTACACGCACACTTAACTGAGTAGGCGTTCCCTAACGGAAATATGCAAATTCACGCCAATAGGATCTCGCTAGCTCGTGTTTGGCTCTGCCCACCTCGTTGCCCACTATGATTAATTTGCTCCCATTGACCACAGCCTGTCGTTTCCAATCTTGGGTTATCTTTGGCGCTACCAGCTAACCGCTAGTCACCCGCTAGGCTACTAGCTAGCGCTACTTGATAGCTAGCTGCAACCCATCTAGCGCTACTAGCTAGCCGCTAGTGCTACTTACTGGCTAGCAGCTACCTAGCTAGCGTTACTTACTAGCTAGCCGCTAGCTTTTACAAATATTTGTTTACCTTTATTTTGATAGGGAAATCATACTAGGGTCTCTTTTTCAGAAGAGCCCTGCATAACTACATCAAACATATTTACATCACAATATACACAATTACCAAACGTATTAAGAAAAACAGACACATTTATCAACATAAAAGGTCTCTGATCATTTCTCTGAACTGACCAAGGGGGACCAGAACATCTCATTTCAGAGATCTCTGCGAGTTCCACATAAAGGGTGCAAAAAAACTAAATGTAGCACTACCAGCTAGTCGCTATTAGTTTTAATAATTTTTGGATACAATGTTAATGCCAAAAATCACTACAATCAAGCAACCACTGTTGCTTGTACTTTAGCTGTCACCTGCTAGCTAGCTAGTACTACTAAATTTCATCCTGAACACATACAGTGAGGGAAAAAAGTATTTGATCCCCTGCAGATTTTGTACGTTTGCCCACTGACAAAGAAATGATCAGTCTATAATTTTAATGGTAGGTTTATTTTAACAGTGAGAGACAGAATAACAACAAAAAAATTCAGAAAAACACATGTCAAAAATGTTATAAATTGATTTGCATTTTAATGAGGAAAATAAGTATTTGACCCCTCTGCAAAACATTACTTAGTACTTGGTGGAAAAACCCTTGTTGGCAATCACAGAGGTCAGACATTTCTTGTAGTTGGCCACCAGGTTTGCACACATCTCAGGAGGGATTTTGTCCCACTCCTCTTTGCAGAACTTCTCCAAGTCATTAAGGTTTCAAGGCTGACGTTTGGCAACTCGAACCTTCAGCTCCCTCCACAGATTTTCTATGGGATTAAGGTCTGGAGACTGGCTAGGCCACTCCAGGACCTTAATGTGCTTCTTCTTGAGCCACTCCTTTGTTGCCTTGGCTGTGTGTTTTGGGTCATTGTCATGCTGGAATACCCATCCACGACCCATTTTCAATGCCCTGGCTGAGGGAAGGAGGTTCTCACCCAAGATTTTACAGTACATGGCCCTGTCCATCGTCCCTTTGATGCGGTGAAGTTGTCCTGTCCCCTTCGCAGAAAAACACCCCCAAAGCATAATGTTTCCACCACCATGTTTGACGGTGGGGATGGTGTTCTTGGGGTCATAGTCAGTATTCCTCGTCCTCCAAACACTGCGAGTTGAGTTGATGCCAAAGAGCTCCATTTTGGTCTCATCTGACCACAACACTTTCACCCAGTTCTCCTCTGAATCATTCAGATGTTCATTGGCAAACTTCAGACGGGCCTGTATATGTGCTTTCTTGAGCAGGGGGACCTTGCGGGCGCTGCAGGATTTCAGTCCTTCACGGCGTAGTGTGTTACCAATTGTTTTCTTGGTGACTATGGTCCCAGCTGCCTTGAGATCATTGACAAGATCCTCCCATGTAGTTCTGGGCTGATTCCTCACCGTTCTCATGATCATTGCAACTCCACGAGGTGAGATCTTGCATGGAGCCCCAAGCCGAGGGAGATTGACAGTTCTTTTGTGTTTCTTCCATTTGCGAATAATCGCACCAACTGTTGTCACCTTCTCACCAAGCTGCTTGGCGATGGTCTTGTATCCCATTCCAGCCTTGTGTAGGTCTACAATCTTGTCCCTGACATCCTTGGAGAGCTCTTTGGTCTTGGCCATGGTGGAGAGTTTGGAATCTGATTGATTGATTGCTTCTGTGGACAGGTGTCTTTTATACCGGTAACAAGCTGAGATTAGGAGCACTCCCTTTAAGAGTGTGCTCCTAATCTCAGCTCGTTACCTGTATAAAAGACACCTGGGAGCCAGAAATCTTTCTGATTGAGAGGGGGTCAAATACTTATTTCCCTCATTAAAATGCAAATCAATTCCTAACATTTTTTAAATGCTTTTTTCTGGATTTTTTTGTTGTTATTCTGTCTCTCACTGTTCAAATAAACCTACCATTAAAATTATAGATTGATCATTTCTTTGTCAGTGGGCAAACGTACAAAATCAGCAAGGGATCAAACACTTTTTTTCCCCTCACTGTAGCTAGCTAGCTGACTCTCCCAACTTCGACCACTACAATTCTAACACACTAACATAACGCCCTGGACCAGAGCTAGTGCGCAGACTGGTATCTGTACAACATACCGACACCCTGGAACACATTGAGAGTCCAGGTTGCGTACGCACATACCAACTGAGATGCAAAAATACAATTTGAGACTCATGTGCATGCGCTTTGCGATTTGCAGACCAGGCGGCGTCGGCGCGCATAATCTGCAGCTGGATGCTTCTCCTGATTTCAGCAACCAAAAAAATGTGCCTAGTCCAAATTTTAAACAGAACAATATTGTGACGTTGGAGTTCCAGTCCGCCCACACTAGTCGCTGCTCAACTCCATCGTAAATCGCGGAGTTGAGTTTAATCGGCTAACAGCTTGCCTGCCGTGTACCCAAACCGGCTGTTAGCAAGCTATCCGATTGCTACGGTAACGTTATGAATGTCAATGCAGACCCAGGGAGTAGATGACTAGTCAAAGCCTGTATAATGTAGCCTCTAGCTACTACTAGTTAAGAATTGACCTCCAGTGTTTGACATTCATAAGAGACACAAAGAACTCTGATTGTAAAATGTCTTTTTAGTCATATAGCTATATAATAATAATAAATAATAATATGCCATTTAGCAGACGCTTTTATCCAAAGCGACTTACAGTCATGCGTGCATACATTTTTTGTGTATGGGTGGTCCCGGGGATCGAACCCACTACCTTGGCGATACAAGCGCCGTGCTCTACCGGCTGAGCTACAGCTACTCTACTATATAATCAGGAACCTATGCTAGACGTACACATAGATTGATTATATAATGGAGCAAATGCCTCCACTGAACAGATGCACGTAAATCATTTAATTCAACAATGAGATTATGTCCCCCTCTAAAGCATGCCAGCCAACTAGGGTAGCCTAACTCTGAATGCATTAATACCATCACGGCCACTGTTCACCAAGGCCTACATAGCAATTGCTGCATAGAATGAAATATAGTTTCCGTGTGTAATGTGATCTATAGTGCTATGAAAAAGTATTTGCCCCCTTTCTAATTTTCTCTACTTTTGCATATTTGTGATACTGAATGTTATCAGATCTTCAACCAAAACCTAATATTAGATCAAGGGAACATAAGTGAACAAATTACATATTTATTTCATAAACAAAGTTATGCAACACCCAATTCCCCTGTGTGAAAAAGTAATTGCCCCCTTACACGTAGTCCTCTGTAGCTCAGCTGGTAGAGCACGGCGCTTGTAACGCCAAGGTAGTGGGTTCGATCCCCGGGACCACCCATACACAAAAAAATAATAATTATGCACGCATGACTGTAAGTCGCTTTGGATAAAAGCGTCTGCTAAATGGCATATTAAATATTAAATTAAATTAAATTAAATATTATTAAATATTACACTCAATAACTGGTTGTGCCACCTTTAGCTGCAATGACTCCAACCAAATGCTTCCTGTAGTTGTTGATCAGTAACTCACGTCGCTGTGGAGGAATTTTGGCCCACTCTTCCATGCAGAACTGCTTTAACTCAGTGACGTGTGGGTTTTCAAGCATGAACTGCTCGTTTCAAGTCCTGCCACAACATCTCAATTGTCTTGCTGCATGACCCAGCTGCGCTTCAGCTTCAGCTCACAGACGGATGGTCTGACATTCTCCTGTAGAATTCTCTGATACAGAGCAGAATTCATGGTTCCTTCTATTAAGGCGTTGTCCAGGTCCTGAGGCAGCAAAGCATCCCCAAACCATCACACCACCACCATGCTTGACCTTTGGTATGATGTTCTTACTGTGGAATGCAGTGTTTGGTTTTCGCCAGGCATAATGGGACCCATCTCGTCCAAAAAGTTGACTCAAGTTTGCCAAAAAGCACCTGGATGATCATCAAGACTCTTGGAAGAACGTTCTATGGACAGATGATTCAAAAGTATAACTTTTTGGACGACATGGTTCATCATACCAAAGGTCAAGCATGGTGGTGGTGGTGTGATGGTTTGGGGATGCTTTGCTGCCTCAGGACCTGGACGACTTGCCTTAATAGAAGGAACCATGAATTCTGATCTGTATCAGAGAATTCTACAGGAGAATGTCAGACCATCCGTCTGTGAGCTGAAGCGCAGCTGGGTCATGCAGCAAGACAATGATCCGAAACACACAATCAAGTCTACATGAAAATAGCTAAAAAGCAATACATTTGAAGTTTTGGAATGGCCTAGTCAAAGTCCAGACCTAATCCCAATTGAGATGTTGTGGCAGGACTTGAAACGAGCAGTTCATGCTTGAAAACCCACACGTCACTGAGTTAAAGCAGTTCTGCATGGAAGAGTGGGCCAACATTCCTCCACAGCGACGTGAGAGACTGATCAACAACTACAGGAAGTATTTGGTTGGAGTCATTGCAGCTAAAGGTGGCACAACCAGCTATTGAGTGTAAGGGGGCAATTACTTTTTCACACAGGGGAATTGGGTGTTGCATAACTTTGTTTATGAAATAAATATGTAATTGTTGTGTTATTTGTCCACTTATGTTCCCTTTATCTAATATTAGGTTTTGGTTGAAGATCTGATAACATTCAGTATCACTAATATGCAAAAGTAGAGAAAATTACAAAGGGGGCAAAAACTTTTTCATAGCACTGTATATATCGTTAGTTATATCGTTAGTCACCTCTACTACTTTTTCTTAATTACAGAGCTGCATCATCAAGCGATACTGTGAGAAGAGGTTTGTGCCCAAGTATCTGGCCACCATAGGGATTGACTATGGGGTCACCAAGTAAGTTGACCCCAATGATGACACATGTTGTAGTAGTAAGAGGCATAGACTGAGTGTACAAAACATTATGACTTAGACTGACCAGGTGAATCCAGATGAAAGCTATGATCCCTTATTGATGTCACTTGTTAAATCCACTTCAATCAGTGTAGATGAAGGGGGGGGGGGGAGACAGGTTAAAGAAGGATTTTTAAGCCTTGAGACAATTGAGACATGGATTGTGTATTTGTGCCATTCAGAGGGTGAATGGGCAAGACAAAGGATTTACGTGCCTTTTGAACGTAGTAGGTGCCAGGCGCACCGGTTTCTGTCAAGAACTGCAACGCTGCTGGGTTTTTCTCGCTCAACAGTTTCCCGTGTCTATCAAGAATGGTCCACCACCCAAAGGACATCCAGCCAATGTGACGCAACTGTGGGAAGCATTGGAGTCAACATGGGCCCAGCATCCCTGTGGAACTCTTTCCACACCTTGTAGAGTGCATGATCCCAGACGAATTGAGGCTGTTCTGCAACTCAATATTAGGAATGCGTTCTTAATGTTTTGTGCACTCAGTGTACATCTATCATTTGTAGAGCAGATGCACAGCTCAGTTCCATTGCTGTCAGATCATTTCAGATAAAGGAGAGGAGACCAGGAGAGGAGGTTGGGATCCACTGCCCTACAGTGTGTAGTAGAGTAGTGGATCCCAACCTCCTTTGGTTGCTGTACTTCCAAGTACATTTTGCTCTGCATCGGTGATGGAGTGGTTAAAAAAAAGAAACTATAAACTCCATCGAGACCAACAACCACCAGTATAAACAAAAATGTATGACATTTTTAGAACCGTACTGATTGCATTTTATTGTAGGCATATAGTGTAGGAAGGCAGGCCATGGGGAGATGTTCATATTGAAACATACATATATATATATATATGTTTCTTTCAGTTCTTCATTTGTTTAATAAGATTAGTACATATTTTCTCAAGGGACCCCACATGGGGCTCCGACCCCAAGTTTGGGAACCACTGTACTAACCTCTCTCTCTCTCGCCCTCTCTCTCTCTCTCTCTCTCTCTGTCTCAGGAGCCTACTCTCTGTAAAGCAAAGTTATGATGAGAACTTAGTAGCCTATATTTTGCTCCTGCTGAGGTCCATTTAACATGAGCTTTTTAGTTAATCTTTCTAGCCAAAGCCCTTAAACAGTACTGCAATAGAAGTATCTGTCGGCAGCTAGCCATCTGACTGACTGACATATCTAAAAGCGACAATTTACCAGTTTGTGCACTCAATCTCCAAGAGTCGGGTTTTCTTTGTTTGGGGGATGCCTGTAGACATGACAAAAAAAATCGTATCTGTCCGGCATCTTCAAATCCACTGTCAGCAGCGTCTTTAGTTGCCTACCGACTCCGAGCTGGAGTAGTTTGTTTCACATGTCAGGCCCTCGGCCTGTGCCACGAGAGGGCGGAGTTAGCATTTGAGAGAGTGGTGAATGTGCTAATCTGGGGGGGCCAATCAGGAGGAGGCAGGCAAACATAACGAACAAACAACTGTTCATGATTCCACTTGTTCACAAAGAGGCCCGTTTAGAACTCAGAAGAATATAAGCGTTCTGAGCTTTGATCAACGCTGGGAACGCAATAAATATTGTGTAAATGCTAATAGAGACTACTGAAGTCTGTGTGACTGATTGAGTGTTTGTGTCTATCAGAATCCACGTTGAAAACCACTGCTGTAGAGACTACTGAAGTCTGTGTGACTGATTTGAGTGTTTCTTCTCCATCAGAGTCCAGGTGCGTGACAGGGAGATCAAAGTGAATATCTTTGACATGGCAGGACACCCCTTCTTCTACGAGGTCAGTGAGTACCTTTCTGCCTCATTGATTAGATTTATCTGACCTTTTATTTTATCAGGTTAGATTAAAAATATATTTTTCAAGAGAGACCTGGCCAAAGTAGTGGCACAATAAAGTTTCATTCAAAGACACATTTTTAAAACCTAAATCATATTGTAAATCATGCTTTGGGTCATGTTCTAACATACTGGAACATAGTTTTACACGTCTGACCAGAAAAACATCTTTACCCTCATGTCCAGACACGCTGTCTGTGTGTTTACCGTGGATTTGCTGCTGTTTCTATACTGAATGAAAACATGAGATGCACTTCACTACTGTGTTTGACTCAATGATGATTTGTGTAACAACAGCACCCCTTACTGGTGTAATAATGAATTGCTCCACAGGAACAGCAGGGGTGTATTCATTATGGAAACCGGTTACCGTTTAAGAACCAAACGGTAGCAAACAGAATAAAAACCGGGAAGGACCTACCTGCATTTGTCCGATAGAAAAGGGAGCGGCAGGTAGCCTAGTGGTTAAGAACGTTGGCCCAGTAACCGAAAGGTCACTGGTTCGAACCCCCAAGCCGACTAGATGAAAAATCTGTCTGTGCCCTTGAGCTAGGCACTTAACCCTAATTGTTGCTGTAAGTCGCTCTGGATAAGAGCATCTGCTAAATGACTCAAATGTAGATACTCCTGTTTGGAGAAACTCACGGTTTCTGTTGCAAAACGTTTGCCACGGATTGAACATTTTGCAACAGAATCCGCACTTAACCCTCATTACGAGGATTCTGTTGCAAAATGTATTTACAATGGTGTTTATGCTCCAATGGTTGCCCTTTTAACAGGCAACAGGTCACAAATGTTGCTTCTCTCTCTCTCCTCTCTCTCCTCCTACTCGCTCTCTCTCTTCTATCCTCTCTATCTCTACTCTCCTCTACTCCTCTCGATCTTCGTTCTCCTCTCTCTCTATCTCTCTTCTCTCTCTCTACTCTCTCTCTCTCTCTCTTCTATCTATTCTCTCTCTATCCTCTCTCTCTTCATCTCTTCTCTCTACTTCTCTCTCTCTGTAGGTTCGTAACTGCGTTTCTATAAGGACAGCCAGGGAGTGGTGTTGGTGTATGATGTTGGTCTGAGGGAGAGTTTTGATGCGCTGGACAGCTGGCTGGGGGAGATGAAACAGGAGATGGGCTCCATGGTTAACATGGAGAGCATTGTCTTCGTCGTCTGTGCCAACAAGGTGTGTGTGTGTTTTTCAAGTTTTAATGTCACATGCACAAGGACAGTGAAATGCCTTCCTTGCTAACTCAAAACCCACAAGGTTCACTGGACTCAACACCTTGTGTGTAGTCATCGTCTGGCGCCGACAAAGATGGCGGCCTCGCGACTAGCTCTTAGGAAACTTTGCGATATTTTGTTTTTTTTATGTATTATTTTTTTACATGATTAGCTCTTAGATTTGTGTGTATTGGGTATATGTTGTGAAATTGTTAGATATTACTTGTTAGATATTACTGCACTGTCGGCGCTGGAAGCATTTTGCTACAGCCGCAATAACATCTGCTAAACACGTGTATGTGACAAATAACATTTTATTTGATGTGCGTGTGCGTGCGTGTGTGTTCGTGCGTGTGTGTGTGTGTGCGTGCGTGTGTGCGTGTGCGTGCGTGTGTGTGTGCCCGCCTGTCAGGTGGACCTGACTAAGCGTCGTGTAGTAGACGAGGGAGTGGGCAGGCTATGGGCGGAGTCTAGAGGGTTCCATTACTTTGAGACATCAGCACAGAGCGGAGAGGGCATCAGTGAGATGTTCCAGGTATGTACACACATACGCAGCTGGTACCTCATAGATAGATAGATAGACGGACGGACGGACGGACGGACTGACTGACTGACTGACTGACTGACTGACTGACTGACTGACTGACTGACTGACTGACTGACTGACTGACTGACTGACTGACGACTGACTGACTGACTGACTGACTGACTGACTGACTGACTGACTGACTGACTGACTGACAAAAGTTTTAGAACACCTACTCATTATGGGGTTTTTCTTTATTTTTACTATTTTCTACATTGTATAATAATAGTGAACACATCAAAACTATGAAATAACACATATGGAATCATGTAGTAACCAAAAAAGTGTTAAACAAATTTGAGATTCATCAAATAGCCACCCTTTGCCTTGATGACAGCTTTGCACACTCTTGGCATTCTCTCAACCAGCTTCACCTGGAATGCTTTTCCAACCGTTTTGAAGTAGTTCCCACATATGCTGAGCACTTGTTGGCTGCTTTTCCTTCACTCTGCGGTCCGACTCACCCCAAACCATCTCAATTTGGTTGAGGTCAGGGGATTGTGGAGGCCAGGTCATCTGATGCAGCACCATCAATCTCCTTCTTGGTAAAATAGCCCTTACACAGCCTGGAGGTGTGTTGGGTCATTGTCCAGCAGGGTTGCCCAACCCTAATCTAGCACACCTGATTCTAATAATTAGCTGGTTGATAAGATGAATCAGGTTAGTAACACCTGGGGTTGGAGTGAAAACCTACAGGAAGGTAGCTCTCCAGGAACAGGGTTGGGCAACCCTGGTGTAGGTAGATAGATAGATCAGGGTTCTTCAATTCCGGTCCTGGAGGGCCGAAACACTTCTGTTTTTAATTTCTACCTGGTAGTTAATTGCACTCACCTGGTGTCCCAGGTCTGAATTAGCCCCTGATTAGAAGGAGAGGATGAAAAACAGAGGTGTCTCGGCCCTCCAGGACCGGAATTGAAGAACCCTGAGATAGATAGATAGATATATAGATGGATGGATGGATGGATGGATGGATGGATGGATTGATGGATTGATTGATTGTAGTGATCTTTGTGTGTGTTCTCCAGGCGTTTTTCTCCTCCATAACGGACATGTGTGAGAACGGCGGGAAGCGCCCGGTGGCGGAGGTCAGTGTCGGCTTCACCAAGGAGCAGGCCGACACCATCCGACGCATACGCAACAGCAAGGACTCCTGGGATATGCTGGGGGTAAAACCTGGAGCCACACGGTAAGACCAGGGGTCAGGAGTCAAACATGGAGCCTCAGGCCCAGTCCAGAAACAACCCCTAACCCCTAGACCAGGGGTGTCAAACTCATTCCATGGAGGGCCGAGTCTCCGCTGGTTTTGGTTATTTCCTTTTAATTTGTGGCCAATTAAGACCTAGACAACCAGGTGAGGGGAGTTCCTAACTAGTCAATTAAGACCTAGATAACCAGGTGAGGGGAGTTCCTAACTAGTCAATTAAGACCTAGATAACCAGGTGAGGGGAGTTCCTAACTAATTAATTACCTTAATTGATCAGTCAAGTACAAGTGAGGAGTGAATACCTGCAGACACTCGGCCCTCCATGGAATGAGTTGGACCCCTGTTCCCTAGAGACTGTTAATAGCGCCACATTAACCTCTGATTAACTGGGTTGTGTTACCTCAATGACCTGTCCAGTCACTCAGAATGACACAATGACCTGTCCAGTCACTCAGAATGACACAATGACCTGTCCAGTCACTCAGAATGACACAATGACCTGTCCAGTCACTCAGAATGACCACAATGACCTGTCCAGTCACTCCAGAATGACACAATGACCTGTCCAGTCACTCAGAATGACACAATGACCTGTCCAGTCACTCAGAATGACACAATGATCTGTCCAGTCACTCAGAATGACACAATGACCTGTCCGTTCACTCAGAATGACCACAAGTGACCTGTCCGTTCACTCAGAATTGACACAATGACCTGTCCGGTCACTCAGAATGACACAATGACCTGTCCAGTCACTCAGAATGACACAATGACCTGTCCAGTCACTCAGAATGACACAATGACCTGTCCAGTCACTCAGAATGACACAATGACCTGTCCAGTCACTCAGAATGCACAACAAACCTGGTTCACTCAGAATGACACAATGACCTGTCCGTTCACTCAGAATGACACAATGACCTGTCCAGTCACTCAGAATGACACAATGACCTGTCCAGTCACTCAGAATGACACAATGACCTGTCCAGTCACTCAGAATGACACAATGATCTGTCCAGTCACTCAGAATGACACAATGACCTGTCCGTTCACTCAGAATGACACAATGACCTGTCCGTTCACTCAGAATGACACAATGACCTGTCCGTTCACTCAGAATGACACAATGACCTGTCCAGTCACTCAGAATGACACAATGACCTGTCCAGTCACTCAGAATGACACAATGACCTGTCCGTTCACTCAGAATGACACAATGACCTGTCCGTTCACTCAGAATGACACAATGACCTGTCCAGTCACTCAGAATGACACAATGAACGTCCAGTCACTCAGAATGACACAATGACCGGTGTCCAGTCACTCAGAATGACACAATGAACTGTCCAGTCACTCAGAATGACACAATGACCTGTCCAATCACTCGAAGGACACAATGACCTGGCCAGTCACTCAGAATGACACAAGAACGGGCCCAAAGACTCAGAAGACACAATGACCTGTCCAGTATCAGAATGAACAATGACCTGTCCAGTCACTCAGAAGACACAATGAACTGTCCAATCACTCGAATGACACAAGACCGTCAATCATCTTAGATAAGGTCTAGGGCCCAAGGTTTTTATACAAAGGGCCCCAGTCGGTGAAGCAAGGGTTTTTGAAATCGGAGGAGGAAAAAATATTCTTTTTAACCCCTTCCGTCATTTTCGCCAATTAGACCTGTTAAATGGGGGTTACCATTTAGTCCCAAATTTTGAACAGCCCCCCTCGACGCATCCCATCCCCACCATTGATTTGCATCCTCCGATTCTCCTCCCCATTGATCGAAATCCCTCCGATTATCCTCCCGATCTGATTGCACCCCTCTCGATTACCCCCCCGATCTGACTCACTCCCTCTGATTTCCTACCCCGATTGATCTGCACTCCCTTCGATTCATCCACCCGATTTATCTGCACTCCCTCTCGATTCATCCTACCCGATCTGATCTGCACTCCCTCTCGATTCATCCTACCCGATCTGATCTGCACTCCCTCTCGATTCATCCTACCCGATCTGATCTGCACTCCCTCTCGATTCATCCTACCCATCTGATCTGCACTCCCTCTCGATTCATCCTACCCGATCTGATCTGCACTCCCTCTCGATTCATCCTACCCCATCTGATCTGCACTCCCTCTCGATTCATCCTACCCGATCTGATCTGCACTCCCTCTCGATTCATCCTACCCGATCTGATCTGCACTCCCTGTCAATTAAATGAAATGTGTTTATTGACATGACAGGTTCATATTGGCAAAAGAAGGGGTAACACTTTATTTGGATAGTCTGTAGAGCATCTACAGTATCAGTAACATTTAACCTACTAACTAACCCTAACCTTAACCCTTATCCTAACCCTAACCTTAACTCTTACCCTAGCCCTATCCCTTATTCTAAACCTAACCATAACTGTAACCGTAGCAAGCAGTTGCTTATCAACAGATAGTATGACCATCTGTAGATCATCTATATAGGACTATCTGGACTACCCAAACCAAGTGGGACCAAAGGGAGTAACAGCAGAACTAGAATGAGATTATATTTCTATGGGACTATCTCTCTCTCTCTACCTCTCTCTTTCTTTCTCTCTCTCTTTCTCTCTTGCTCTCTCTCTCGCTCAAAAAAACAGACTTCTCTCAGTAATTTCTATCTTCCCTGATATACGAGGCAGCTAGGTGTGTCTGTGGAGGGGATTGGGGGCTTGGATTTAGCGAGAGGATTAGGAGACAGTGGAGAATCTCATTACTCCGTCGACCTGACAATCAACTCTTCCACACACACACACACACATGGCAGCTTCAACAGCGCCTTCCTCTTGGTCTAACTTTGGTTCCAAACGTTGTTTGTGTTTCCAGGGAGGAGGTTAACAAGGCGTACAGGAAGTTGGCAGTGCTGCTCCATCCGGATAAGTGCGTTGCCCCGGGCAGTGAGGATGCCTTCAAGGCCGTGGTGAACGCTCGCACCTCCCTGCTCAAGAACATCAAGTAGACGCTCCGCCAATCAACGCCAGCTAGGGACTCCGGTCAATGCTCTACCCTCCACCCTGACCCTTAACCCCTGACCCCTCGCCCCAGAATGTCATCAGCCTTTTCTGCCCTCTCCCAACCAGCAAAACCAACCCTTTCCCCCTCCCGGCTCTCCAACCCTTCCCACCAGATGCCATGACATTTTGCTACAACAGAGTTTTATAATGTAATTACTGATGATGTGCCACATAAACTCTGTCTCTCTGTAAGGAAGACTTATCAATGCTTTAAAACTGTCATCTTTCACACAATGGAGAGAGAAGTCAATGGAAGACTGGGTAAGTCATTAGCTTGGTCCTAACCAGTACGGCTGGGAATTGCCAGGGATCTCACAATATGAAATTGTCACGATACTTAGGTGCCGATACGATATGAAAACAAGTTTTGATCAGTCATGGAAGTAAAAGTGCTCGAAAACTAATTGGCCCCTCTATTTAAAAAGGAGATGGAGAACAAGCTATGAAGGAAAAAATACTGGAGTTTTGGTGCAGGTACAGCCAACCAGCGCAATAATTATATTGCGATATTCTCCAAAATAATATCCCGATATGTGACTGTATCCATTACCACTAACTAGATGTGTTAGCTTTGGTCCAGAGCGTTCAAGCAGCTTGTTGAGATAAAGAAAAGTCAGCATCAGCATGCCGCACAAACGTAACGCCCTGAACAATAGCTACAGGTGCTGTAGACATGAATGGTTGGAATAAAGGTGGGTAATGCTGAACATACACTATGCGATTTCGCCACGTTTTTTTGCCGTCCCAGATGATATTTTTATGAAATGCTATGAACTTGGGCTAGGATCAGTAGGTCGGGACTCTCGTAGTTTGAGCGGGTCGAGGACACACCGATGACGGCTGTTCCGTTCTCCAGACCTTTGTCGGATGACCCGATAATTTTCGGACATGTCAGAAATGTTGGTTGTGCATCTTGCAGGGCTGGTCCATACTAGACTACAGTCCCTACTCTCCCCGCTGGACAAGCTTGGCCTCATCCTTTAAATACTTATCCCTAGGGTTGCAAAGTTCTGGTAACTTTCCCATAATTCCCAGGTTTTCCAGAAATCCCGGTTGCAAGATTCCCATAATCAGGAAGGAATAGTCAGGAAAACCGGAATCTTCCAACCAGAATTTCTGGAAAACCTGGACATTTTGGGAAAGTTACCAGAATTTTGCAACCCTACTTACCCCCAGCCAGCCCCATACAGTATAACTCAGTGTACATAGCGAATGCTGTGTTCCCTTCCCCAGACATTTTGTGTCTCCACAGCCACAGATGCACTGAGGGGTGTAATAACTAACTGAGAGATGGGGAAACTGCAGCAAACTAACCTTCATGTATATTCTCAATCACCCACTACAGAACCCCAGCTCTCAGTACACCAAACCAAAACCCTGTTTGCCAAATCCCAGTTAGACCGTTTGGTTATACCAGTCTGGATCATCAGTCACACTGCAGCATAGAACCATTTATATTACTCATGCAGTGAAAAGTTGACTCGTCCAAAGTTTGTTACATATTTCATATTCCTACATTGTAGTAGTAGATTATGATGACGATATATTATTCCAATCACTGTCATTATACCACCTCCTCTGATGACTTCATAGCTGACAGAGCAACTGATTGGTGGGTAGAACTATGACATCAGCAGTGCCATCCCTAACACGATTAAGATGATAAGAGGTTGTAATCATAGAATAGAATTTATAGAAGGGGCTTGGAGCCTCTAACCCTATTGACTTGAATGGTGAGGCCTGTTCTATGGGTTCTATTTCTACGGTTATGAGAACCTGGAACAGGGGAGGACGTTACAAAGCACAATCAGTTTGTTACCCTGCTCACTGGCCTACATTTTCTTCAATAACTTTCATATGTTTAAGAAGATAGATTTGAAAATGGCATGGTATAATTAACTCAACGACCACAACAACCCATATCCAGGTTTTAAAATAAAAAATAAAATAATAATACGATAATTGAGAGCTTGTAAAAGTGAGCGGGTTAACTTAGTGAATGTGTTTTCTGATACAGTCCACTGGGTATTTTATAGACAAACCAGGCTGGGGGGTGGTTCTATTGTCCCAAGTGACTGACATGTTTAAGGTCCAATGCAGACATTTTTATCTCCATATCAAATCATTTCTGGGTAACAATTAAGTACCTTACTGTGATTGTTTTTTAAATCAAATGGTCAAAAAGAAACTAAAATAGCTTATTAGCAAAGAGCAATTTCTCAATTGGACTGTGGGAGTGGTCTGAGTGGAGAGGCGAAAACTGAAAACTAGCTGTTATTGGCAGAGAGGTTTGGAAACTCTCTTTCTTATTGGTCTATTAACTAATTCACCGCCTGGTGATGTCACCAGGCAGGCCAAAACTCCATCCCACCAAAACAGGCTGATATTTCAGGTATCTTTTCAAACAGCTCTTACACTAAAAGGGCATTATCATAATTTTCACAATTTCACACTATTATTCCAACCTCATAGTGTGGAAATAGATATATAAAACACAGGAAAATCACGTTTCTGATTGCACTGGGCCTTTAAGGTACAACTAAGACATGAGAAGATAGAATATGATTTAGTCTGAGTAGCTAGCATGCTATTTAAACACGCAGACAGATGTGGCATGTATATGAAATCCATACTATTTATATTTTTATATCAACGCCAGAAGAGTGAACATACTGTATGACTATAAAGATATGTAGTGGTACTTCCAGATCTGTGGAATATGTATTGAACTATGATTTATCATTTTTTTATTTTCATAATGTGTATATATATATATATATATATATATATATATATATATATATATATATACACACAGTGGGGGAAAAAAGTATTTAGTCAGCCACCAATTGTGCAAGTTCTCCCACTTAAAAAGATGAGAGAGGCCTGTAATTTTCATCATAGGTACACGTCAACTATGACAGACAAATTGAGAAAAAAAATACCAGAAAATCACATTGTAGGATTTTTTTATGAATTTATTTGCAAATTATGGTGGAAAATAAGTATTTGGTCTCCTACAAACAAGCAAGATTTCTGGCTCTCACAGACCTCCTTCCATCAGCAAGGGCATTGAAGATGAAACGTGGCTGGGTCTTTCAGCATGACAATGATCCCAAACACACCGGCCGGGCAACGAAGGAGTGGCTTCGTAAGAAGCATTTCAAGGTCCTGGAGTGGCCTAGCCAGTCTCCAGATCTCAACCCCATAGAAAATCTTTGGAGGGAGTTGAAAGTCCGTGTTGCCCAGCGACAGCCCCAAAACATCACTGCTCTAGAGGAGATCTGCATGGAGGAATGGGTCAAAATACCAGCAACAGTGTGTGAAAACCTTGTGAAGACTTACAGAAAACGTTTGACCTGTGTCATTGCCAACAAAGGGTATATAACAAAGTATTGAGAAACTTTTGTTATTGACCAAATACTTATTTTCCACCATAATTTGCAAATAAATTCATAAAAAATCCGACAATGTGATCCTCATTTTGTCTGTCATAGTTGACGTGTACCTATGATGAAAATTACAGGCCTCTCTCATCTTTTTAAGTGGGAGAACTTGCACAATTGGTGGCTGACTAAATACTTTTTTCCCCCACTGTATGTCAATATTTATGGTGATGTTTTCTATTTGATAAGAGGATATTTATTGGGCTGAATTGTTCCTGTGAAGCATGTTTTGAGCCAGGCAGAGCAGAGCGCAGTGAGTGAACAATGACAACAGAGGGAGTGATCACTAGCTTTGATACCATGTGGTAGATAGTGCTATTAGCTATGATATGGTGTGTTAGCTTGATTAGCTCTGTGAGAGACTGTGTGAGTGAATAACAAGGGGTTATGATGTGTTAGCTTTGACGTATTAGTAAGTGTGAAGACATGACGTGGGGTGGGGTGGGGGGGGGGGGGGGGGGGGGGGTAATGCCTTGTCTCCAGCTGTGTGACTGGCTGGGTTGACTGTCAATTAGTGGGTCAATTAATATTTTGTCTATTAATGTTCTGTATTATGTCATGTTTCATGTTTTGTGTGGACCCCAGGAAGAGTAGCTGCTGCTTTTGCAACAGCTAATGGGGATCCTAATAAAATACCAAAATACTAACAGTCACACTTATCAACCTGCAACTGCTCTCTCGCTCTTGCAGTAGTATCTAACAATTCACAACAATACACCCAAATCTAAAAGTAAAATAATGGAATTAAGAAATATTTAAATATTAAGATGAGCAATGTCTGAGTGGCATTGACTAAAATACAGTAGAATACAGTATATACATATGAAATGAGTAAAGCAGTATGTAAACATTATTAAAGTGACCAGTGTTCCATTTTTAAAGTGACCAGTGATTCGATGTGTATCTACATAGGCCAGCAGCCTCTAAGGTGCAGGGTTGAGTAACCGGGTGGTAGCCGGCTAGTGACAGTGACTAAGTTCACAGCAGGGTACTGGGTGGAGGCCAGCTAGTGATGTCTATTTAAGTGTGATGGCCTTGAGATAGAAGCTGTTTTTCATTCTCTCTCGGTCCCAGCTTTGATGCACCTGTACTGACCTCGCCTTCTGGATGATAGCGGGGTGAACAGGCCGCGGCTCGGGTGGCTGAGGTCCTTGATTGTCTTTTATGGCCTTCCTGTGACATCCACTAGGTTAATATGTGCTGCGTGCTGCTACTTGTGTCGGTTTTGTTTTGGTATAAGAAACAGAAAAACCACACTGCTTGTTCCATATGTGTGTGTAGAGAGGCTGGCCTCTTGGTGACAGGATGTGATTGGGTGGCCCCTGACCTCATGGCATGCTGGGTATAATCTGGATAAAAGGCTGATCAGGCTGATTAAAGCATGTCAGGCACACTGCCATCTGATTATACACACACACACACACACACACGCACACACACACACACACACACACACACACACACACACACACACACACACACAGCCAGATACGTCAGTCAGCTTTATTTAGACTGGTGACTTCACTTAGTGTCAGTCTAACCATGACTGGACGACTGACACACCCTGCCACTG